AGAATAGAAAATTTTACAAGACACAAATAGTAACATCACTCTTGTATGTTAAGAGGTTTTGATTTTTTTATTTTTTGTAACATTAATTGTCTCATAGGATTATAACAAATACAATCACCTTTGATATCATGGAATGGTTTTATAGTGGTATACGTACCGTTATCATTTATCCAGATTTGTAATTGTTAAGTGTCGAAATATTGGACAATGAATTCATTAAAAGAACTATATTGATATCTCTCAGAGTAAATCTTCAAACTCTAGTTTTTATTGAAAGAAGTCTTAGTTGCGAAAACCTTCGATCCTAAAATATTTTACTGTCACCTTTGGATTTTCTGTAAACATGAGAGCTACTTATCTTTTTTTATGACTGTCGATAGTCATTTTTTTTCTTGAGTATTATCTGCTGTTGGGATTTTTAAAACAAAAACTGTTGTTTCTTTTTTTGGACAGAATACAAAATAAACAAAACCATATTAATTTTTCAAAAAATGTGTCCTACGCTGTGCACTTTCTTTAGAAGGTATACTTGACATTTCTTACGTCTCAGTCATTTGTGTGTCGCTCAGCATTACTATATTAAAAACAAATTATCTTGAAACGGCAATACGTTTTCCTATTCTTTTAAAACAGCAACGTCAATGAAAAATAAATTTAAATTACTTGTATTATTTCTGAAAAAAGGGATTGCATGATACACGTCACAATGTTCTTCAGCATTAGTCGAAAGATGTTTTGTATGCAATGATAGATCAAAATATTTATACATTATTATTACTGGTTGAAGCTTAGACAATAGTTTTTAATATCACCCATGTAAGTTATAATTGCTTAAACATTTATACTAAATAGAATTTTGAGTTAAACAAGAAAACTGTCTTCTTCTATAATGAAACTTAATAGCACTAGATGAGCAATTAGCTTTAGCTACAGGGAATGATTGGATATGAAAAATAATCATCATAATTATAATAATAATAGTAGTAATCATTTTTTATACGTTTTAATCATATTTAACTCTGAAGTATTGTTTAAAATAAANCTTTATTAAATAATAAAGTAATTATTAATAGCACAAGCGCCTACCACCCGATGTCACGGGGTGCTTACAGATCAGTCTGTTAAATAATGAAGTATTTATTATTAACACAAGTGCCTATAACCTAATGACGACGGGCGCTAATTTGCCTCTCTATTAAACAAAAAAGTGATAATTATCATTACAAACGCCTATCACCCAATGACCTGGGGCTTTTACTGTTCCCTTTATAAAACGATTAATATTATTAATTAATAGCACAAGTGCCTATAACCCAATGACCCCGGGCGCTAACTGGCCTCTCTATTAAATAATAGAGTATTAATTATTATTACAAGCCCCTATAGGGAATGATTGGATATGAAAAATAATCATCATAATTATAATAATAATAGTAGTAATCATTTTTTATACGTTTTAATCATATTTAACTCTGAAGTATTGTTTAAAATAAACAGTAATGTTATTAAAGACATTTGCTATTGCAAACATCGTTGTTTTGCTTACAATTACATTTACCTATAACATTTTCAGTGTATAATGTAATTACTTCTCACCGTACTCACTGTTTAATTATCTTTAGTATATTAATTTCTTAAAAAAGTTTCATGTAACGTTCGACATAGAAATATTAATTTAAAAAGTCTGATGTACCACACCTTTGATAGAATTATTAAAAGTAATTATAAAGAACAATAAAAACAAACTGCTTAACTACATTAAGTTTTCTACCAAACCATATTTTTAAAGAGATTCTAAAAGATGAGTTTTTTGAAATGAATTTCCTTATCATGGGTTAAAGCAAGAACCTAACAGAAAAATAAAAAACCGTAAAAATAAGAAATAATCAAGGAGACCAATAGTGTTTCTTCACGCATAATAACCATTCATAGAAACTATACACGCTAGCTGTCTCTCTTTCACTGGCTCACTTACTCACTACATCTGGAGACTATATTTACTAGCTCTTTCTCTCTTTTCCTCTTGCTCACTGTATACCGAGTTTGAAACAGTCACTCTCTGACGCTAACGCTCTTGGCCATTAAAGTTGCAATCTGTATTTTTAATTCAGTTTACATGTATTTTAATAAGTGGCTTATTGTAATATCAAAACTTTGAAATAAAAATATGACATTACAAATTTCTGGTATGATTAACACAGTCTTTTAAAAACAAATANAGTATTGTACTTACATAAGAAGTATACAAGTTTCTTCAATAAAAGAATTTTTTTTAAATTAATTGAAGGAACTGAAACCTTTTGCAGCAAAGATAACACAACGTATTTAGGGATTGATAAAGTTAGACAATAATATCCATACCAATTTTTCAATAGATATTTTTAATAGCATCCATGAAGGTTTACCACTTCATAAACTCAGTTTAAGAAGAAGTAGAATAGTAATGCCAATTAGAAATTTGGGTTTATCAAACGACTCATGTAATGGTACTTGATTAGGAATTACTAAATTATCGTTATAAAATTTAGAAGGAGAAATAATAACTGGAAAAAAATCGGACATAAAGTTTTTATCTTAAGAATGATTTTAATCACTAGTAACATCTCTTCACAATCATTTATTTTATATCGTCAGCAATTCCTTGTAGTTGCAGCATTCGCTACGACAATCAATATATCTGAAAGTCAATGTTTTGATAATGCTGGCTTATACTCGAGAAAACTACTGTTTTGTTACGGTCAATTGTAGGTATTTTTATCAAATTGCTAAAATGAAAATAAAATATTTATTCAAGTTGAAAGAGATTATTTGTAAATTAAAAGTAGTGTTAGGAAAAAAATAAAAATAAAAATAAAATCCTTGGACATTTCATACAGCACTGCACAACGCATCAATGACACACTCTCTCGTGGTCCACGTTTGAATCAAGTTTTTTTTTGTTTTTATTTCTTGCAAGTCCCATATTACGAGTGAGCTTATCTCATTACTGCTGAAAGAAGTACGTCTACGCAAGCACGCAAATTAAGCGCTGAATAATACCGCGACGTTTGGTTGTAATCACGGCAATTTCAGCTACAAATAATACGCGAGTCATGCGCGCAACTACGACTTTGCGACGGCAAAAACATTAGTCGTCGAGACGTCAGAAATTACCCACGTTACCGCTTTGTCGATATGATAAGGCAAAACAAAAAAAATTCGTGTCTCTCTTGAAATCAAAAATCGCTCGTCCGAACCTTCTTTTTTGTTTATCCCGTTAAATGAAGGTAAACATATATATGTCGGTCTATGTGCTCGAAATAAACATCAATTGAACTCACGGCTTTGCCTTATTCGTCTATTTATGTGTTGGTCGCCGCTAATCCATAAAACACGTACATGTCTCTCGGTCTCTGTATACCTACGCACACGCAAACAAAGAACCCAATCATATATATTATAATGTACCAGTGTGCTCATCGTGACTCGATCGTCATTGTCGTCATGCACCTAATAGCTCAGCCGATTTTATATTCATACATTATTTGTCCAGTTTGCGCTGCTGAGCTTTCTTTTACTTGTTTTTCCCCCATTTCTTTTACACGCCTATAATCAATGCTACGCGCACGCGATAGATACCACGTCAAGCATAAATTGCCGAGTGATTTTTATCCTATTTGTTTCAGCTGCGGATGGTCGGGAAACATTTTTCTCGTTGCATACGGAGCCGCGTTGTTTTGCATCCACACGCGGACCTGTTTGATTATCGGCGCAAACAGCTAATAAAAGAAAAAAAAAAAA